GCCCGCCCCGCCTCCGCACCGCTCTGCCACTCCCCGGCCGTGCCCGAGCCCCACGCCCGGAGCGGGCAGAGCGGCCGGGACGGACACAGCTCCGGGGCTCCCGCCTGCCGGCCCGGCACAGCCCGCCCCGCCTCCGCACGGCTCTGCCGCTCCCCGGCAGCTGCCCGGCCGCCAAATTCCCGCTGCCCCTCAGCAATTCCCCGGGGAATGCCAGGAGTGCTCCCGTGTCGGGTGTAACAGGGCAAAAGGATAAACCTCAGGATAATGCAAATGGGGGAGGTACTTTAAGTGGAAAGGGAAAGCATGGATGATGCTTTTCTATGGATCTGAATTAAGGGAAAAATGCCCCCTTTTCCATCACCAGAGAGGTTTAACGCAAGGAACACCACTCTTTTCCCCAATATATGCGGGGTTTAAATTAAAGGGGAGAAGCCATTTATTTACCACTGCATCTATTTAAATAGAGTTAACTGTCCCATTTGCTCATTTTAAGCGTTGCCTTTTCCAGCATTTCAAGGGTTTAAAGCTGTATTTCAGGGCACTTCTACCCACACCCCGGCACCAAATATTTCCAGCTGGGGCTAGGCCAGCAGGTATGTAATGGTAATGCCACCTGGGAGTCCATTCCTTTTCTTATTTTCATTTATAACGTAGAGAGCCCTGATTAAAGGTCCCTATGAGACACCATCCAAATCAATACTATTCTTCCCCACCCTAATTAATCACAGGTGGAATGCTACTTAGTAATCACTGAAAAATAATTATGGAAGCCCATAAATTATCCAACTTAGCTGGCAACACTGCTGAAACACCAAGTTTTTCTTCTCACCTTTTTTTTTTGTCCTTTGCTCCATTGTTCTGAGTAATTGTAGCAAAAAAGAAAACAGTGTTTTTTCCCAAAGAGTTTTCTTCTACACAGAGCTCCTTACCTGAAATTTAACTCAGAGAAGCCAAACAGCTACGGTCCCTCTGAGGGCCTTTATACCCGGTGGGATTTGCCGCCTCCCCTTTCCCAGGCATCGTGGGAAAAAGAGGCGGGCCCAATTAGGGGTATATTAACCCCAGGCTGTGCTAAGGGGCATTATTCCTTCCAGGGGAATCAGCAGGGGTAAAGAGCTCCTCTCTCATTTCAGTGAAGAGGCTCTTTCAACTTATTTTAGCCTGCTAAAAGTGGGCATATTTTGGGCATTTGAAGCAGCAGAAGTTTTGAAAACACCTTCAAAAAAACAATATTGAATACAGGGAGTATTTAAGTTTATGATTTTGGGTTGGGGGTTCAGGGGCAATAAGACAGTTCTGTAATGACTCTTCTCCTTGGATTTTTTTTAGGAGGATTGCAATTTCCAGAAGTTCTAGGTCACATCAAGTGCGATATTTCCGATTCTCTCAGCAGATTCATCGTAACACAAAAGGGAATCGCTCTCGCAGCAGCTTTCCTTAGCAGCAGATCGTCCTCTCGCACAGATTCACTTCAGAGAGATAAGTTGAGGGCCGTGGTCACAGAGGGGATCAAAGCAGGGTGGTGGGGTAGGATTCACAGCAGTTAGGGGTTTTGAGTCATCTATGCTGAGGGGAAGGTTTGAGAAATGGTCTCTGGGGCCGCAGTGAGGGAAAGGCTCAGTTTAGCTAACAATGCTGAGGTGGGCAGGGCAGAGCAGTCCCAGGGTGGGTTGTCACTTGTCTATTGTGCTTTTTGTATCTTCTGTGCACCTCATGTAATGTGTCTCTTGCCTTAGCCCTTCCAGGAGCTTATAAGAAACCCCAGGTTCTTCCATTCATCTCCCATCTTTGCGTTCCTCGGCCCGGCGCCAGCAAAACTTCGATGCGGGAGCTCGGACAGTCATCAGAATCACATCAGTCTTTAGAAGCTTGTGATCATATGTTTCTTTAGGTCTCATTCTCAGCTGTGTTGACAGCTATGTGCAGCAATGTTTCTTTACAGTGGATAAGGACTTGTGCCAATTCAAAGGCAGGCAGAGGCTTCCAGCCACAGGATTCTCGGGCATCCGTCTTTGCGGTTCTTGGAAAAAGTTGTTCTGTTAGCATCTTTTTCCTCCGGGGTCACCCGAGCTCGGCAGGCTTGCCTCCGGTCCCTCTTTGGTCATCTCGTTCAGCATTCTCTCGGTCCTCGTGAGGACTTTCTTGTCTCAGAGAGTTTTCTCTCCCTGTCACGTCCCCTCGTCTCACGGGTGTCTGGGGGTATTTGGTCCGGAGCTGCTCTGCCCTGCTGCCCAGCCCGGTTGTAGGTGTTTAAGGACAAGTCCCGGGCACTTGTAATTGGAGACTGGTAGTATGGCCTGTGGTTGGAGTCTAGGTGGTATTATGTTGACAGCAGGTGTCTGGAGCTGTGAAGTTACCCTGCAGCACTTTGACTTTTTTCCTAACTTTCTTTCAGATGCAGATGGTTTGACCTCGTGGCAGAGCAGCTGTCCCAGATGAGGGGGTCCCCCTGAGAAGGTCAGTCACGGTTTCACTTTGCGGCGGGGCTGGAACCGGTCACTGTGTTACAGCTCTGCTCTTTGTATTTATTTCTAGGAAGTAAAGCCGGATAGCAGCGGGGAAGGCGAAGCAGGTGGAAGGTGAGGCTCGGTTGGTGAAGAGCAGCCGTTGTTCCTGCTGGGGTCGCAGTTTCTGCTGTAACTCCAAGCATCCCTGCTTGTTGGTGTGTTTTAGGCTGCCTCCTGATGCTGTGCTGAGGCCCCCTCACTGACCTGCCAAGAGACCCGGTTTGCTTCTCTGGTGAGCCCCAGCAAATATTACTGGAGTCCGTGACGAAGCCTCGACCTCATCCACGTGTCGGTGCGGTCCCGGTACCCTTTAGGCGTGGCCGAGGACTCGCAGCGAGTCGGAAGGAGCGGCGAGGGCGCGCTCAACTTTCAGCAACGCTACATCGCCTGCTCTCCGTTTATCCTAGGCGACCCCTGCGACGACGGCATCCGCCTTGGAGCGTGGCCGAAGTGTGCGGCCCGAGGACCTGGGAAGTTCCTAAGAGACGGTGAGTAGGAGTTGGGTTTTGGTGAATATGCCTCTAAGATTGTGCACTTATATTTGGTTTTCTTTATCATAGGTGATGATACTTGTCTGAGACAACAGCCCGGTGAGAGAAGAACTTCCCAGACAGCGAGGTGGCTTTGTTTGGCTCTCGACCGGCCTCTCGCCGTGACTCACATCTTCAGCCCTCTGAGAGATAAGTGGAGCCCACAGAGGGGATCAAAGCAGGGCGGTGGGTCAGGACTGAGATCGGTTTGGGTTTTTGAGTGAGCTTTGGGGATGGGGAGGTTCTGGAAATGACCCCATAGGCCCCAGTGAGGGAAAGCCTCACTTTGGTTTGCAATGCTGAGGCAGGCAGGGCAGAGCAGTCCCAGGGTGTGTTGTCACTTGTCTCTCGTGCCTTCTGTGTCTTATGTGCATCTCGTGTAATGTGTCTCTTGCCTTAGTCCTCCCAGGGGTATATGAGAAACCCCGGGGTCCTTCCGTTCATCTCCCATCTTTGCGTTCCTCGGCCCGGCGCCGGCGAAGCTTCGATTCGGGAGGTCAGACATGTGTCAGAATCGCATCTGTCTTCAGAATCATGTGATCTTTTTAGGTCTCGTTCTCAGCTGTGTCGACAGCTATGTGCAGCAATGTTTCTTTACAGTGGATAAGGACTTGTGCCGATTCAAAGGCAGGCAGAGGCTTCCAGCCACAGGATTCTCGGGCATCCGTCTTTGCGGTTCTTGGAAAAAGTTGTTCTGTTAGCATCTTTTTCCTCCGGGGTCACCCGAGCCTGGCAGGCTCACCTCGGGTCCCTCCTCAGTCATCTCGTTCAGCATTCTCTCGGTCCTCGTGAGGACCTTGTCTCAGAGAGTTTTCTCTCCTTGTCATGTCCCTGTCCCCTCGTGTCATGGGTGTCTGGTGGTATTTGGTCCGGAGCTGCTCTGCCCTGGCGCCCAGCCCGGTTGTAGGTGTTTAAGGACAAGTCCCGGGCACTGGTAATTGGAGATTTGTAATATGGGCTGTAGTTGGAGTCTAGCTGGTATTCTTATGTTGGCAGCAGGTGTCTGGAGCTGTGAAGTTACCCTGCAGCACTTTGACTTTTTTCCTAAATTTCTTTCAGATGCAGACAGATTGACCTCATGGCAGAGCACTGTCCCAGATGAGGGGGTCCCCCTGAGAAGGTCGGTCACGGTTTTACTTTGCAGCAGGGCTGGAACCGGTCACTGTGTTACAGCTCTGCTCTTTGTATTTATTTCTAGGAAGTAAAGCCGGATAGCAGCGGGGAAGGCGAAGCAGGTGGAAGGTGAGCCTCGGTTGGTGGAGAGAAGCAGTTGTTCTTGCTGGGGTCGCAGTTTCTGCTACAACTCCAATCCCTGCTTGTTGTTATTTTAGGCGGCCTACTGCAAGATATCCCAGCCCAGGATGCTGGAGGACAGGTGGGTGCAAGCTCTGTGTGTGTTTTGGTGTTTAAGTCCCTGGTTTGCTGCTCATCTTTAGTTCTTGAAGATGGAATGAAAGAACCACA